TCAACCCACCAATGCAGGAAAACAAAAGCATGCAATTTAAACTAATTGCGGAAGAAATCCATATCAAATTCAGTGAAAGTGGCAGTAGTACAATAAAGGTGAAACACACCCATAAGCTATTCTGTACAAGAACTAGACGACGGATGGCACGAGAGCGTAGAGGAGCAGGGTCTTCTCTTGTTAGTATGGAGACACCATATTACAAAACAATATATTAAAGATGTGTTATAGGCAGTCGAGAAGAGGAGTATCAAGACAAAATAGCAGAAGTGCAAGACAATAGTTTGCATCGCAAACACTTTTACACACAGAAGCTTTTACACACAGACGCTTTTACACACAAAAGCTTTTACACACAGAAGCTTTTACACACAGAAGCTTTTACACACAAAAGCTTTCACACACAGAAGCTTTTACATACAGGCACTTTCACACACAGACCCTTTTACACACAGACGCTTGTACACACAAAAACTTTTACACATAGAAGCTTTTACACACAGACGCTTTTACACAGACGTTTTTACACACAAAGCTTTTACCCACAGAAGCTTTTACATACAGAAGCTTTTTTACACACAGACGCTTTTACACAGACGCTTTTACACACAGACACTTTTCCACACAGACGCTTTTACACACAGACACTTTTAACAAAGACCCTTTTGCACACAGGAGCTTTTACACACAGACGCGTTTACACACAGACGCTTTTACACACAAAAGCTTTTACACACAGAAGCTTTTACACGCAGACGCTTTTACACACAGGCACTTTTACACACAAACACTTTTACACACAAACACTTTTACACACAGACGCTTTTACATACAGAAGCTTTTACACGCAGACGTTTTTGAACACAGAAGCTTTTACACACAAACGCTTTTACACACAGACGGTTTTACCTACAAACACTTACGCAGAAACACTTTTACACACAGACGCTTTTACACACCGACGGTTTTACACACAAGCGCTTTTACACACAATCACTTTTACACACAGACGCTTTTACACACAAACCTTGGTTCGGGCACCTGCCTCTATTTGTGTTATGGCACACGTCCAATGTTGTCCTCGATGTTGTAAGTGATGTTGTGAATTTCTCGTTTTTTTTTCCACGTAAATTTTGATGTTTTAAATTTGGCGGTTTTTTTCTCACGTAAATTTTGATGTTGTAAATTTGGCGTTTTTTTCTCACGTAAATTTTGATGTTTTTAATTTGGCGTTTTTTTTCTCACGTAAATGTTGATGTTGTAAATTTGGCGTTTTGTTTCTCACGTAAATTTTCATGTTGTAAATTTGGCGTTTTTTTTTCTCACGTTAATTTTCATGTTTTTAATTTGGCGTTTTTTTTCTCACGTAAATGTTGATGTTGTAAATTTGGCGTTTTTTTTCTCACGTAAATTTTCATGTTGTAAATTTGGCGTTTTTTTCTCACGTAAATTTTGATGTTGTAAATTCGGCGGTTTTTTTTCACACGCAAATTTTGATGTTGTAAATTTGACGTTTTTGTTTTCCTCAAGCAAATTTTGATGTTGTAAATTTGGCGTTTTTTTCTCATGTAAATATTGATATTGTAAATTTGGCATATTTTTTCCCACGATTTCTCACGTAAATTTTGGTGTTGTAGATTTGGTGTTTTTTTTCCTCACGTAATTTTTGTTGTAAATTTGGTGTTTTTTTCCCGACGTAAATTTTGATGCTGTAAATTTGGCATTTTTGATTCATTATGATTATGAAGTTTTGATTCATTATTCTGATAAGTGATAAGTTAAGTTAAAGTATCTGTTTTTGTCAGCCCACCAGTTGAAAGGTTATTAAGTTATCAGTAAGTTATCCATGTCAATGATGATAAAATTACATGTTTAAACATTAAGTTCAAGTTAAGTTCAAAAAATATAGAAAAATACTTTTAAAAACATGGTAAATTTCCGGTACATCCGAACGGTTCAGAACGGTTCAGGCGTATCAGTTTCTGATACATCCGAACGGTTCAGAACGGTTCAGGCGTCTCCGAACTATCCCGAACCATTCCGAACTATTCCGAACTAATCCGAACTCAGGCCTCCGATACATCCGAACGGTTCAGAACGGTTCAAGCGTATCAGGTTTTTGCCTTAGATTCTAAGCTTAAAAGTGGGCAATTTTCACAACGTATTATCATTTAAGTTAACAAGTTGAAGATGCATGACTTGTAAGCAAGTAAAGGTTTTAAGCTATGAGGTTTTAAGTTAGTTACAAATTATAAGAGGAAGAAAAGTTGTAAGACAAGTGATGTCAGTTGCAAGTTGTGAGTTGTAAATTGCCATAAGCCAAGGTACTTCAAGTAAAACTTCGGTGAAGAAAAACATGGTAACGGCGTTGATAAGAGGCCGTGCAGTGGTGTAAGATCGACATTCCATCATAAGTGTTCAATTTCAATTTCGTGAGGGTTTTTCAACATTTTCATCATATCATGGTGTTTTCAATGAATTTAAAACCACGTAGTGTTCACCGAAAATATTGATTTTTGAGCGTTTTACCTCATAAAATGACATTTTTTTATCACAACCCTTGTTTCCGAAACTTTGTGTGACATGAATATTGACGTAAGAGCCACCTAGCAGTAGCGTAGCATGACGTATGTGTGAATGTGCAAGAGAAACTAGCAGTAGCGTAGCATAACGTATGTGTGGAAGAAGAGAAACCTAGCAGTAGCGTCGCATGACGCATGTGTGGAAGAGCAAGAGAAACCTAGCAGTAGCGTAGCATGACGTATGTGTGAATGTGCAAGAGAAACCTAGCAGTAGCGTAGCATGACGTATGTGTGAATGTGCAAGAGAAACTAGCAGTAGCGTAGCATGACGTATGTCTTAATGTGCAAGAGAAACTAGCAGTAGCGCGCCGTATGCGTGAATGTGCAAGAGAAACTAGCAGTAGCGTAGCATGACGTATGTCTTAATGTGCAAGAGAAACTAGCAGTAGCGTAGGCTAACGTATGTGTGGAAGTGCAAGAGAAACCTAGCAGTAGCGTAGCATGACGTATGTCTGAATGTGCAAGAAACTAGCAGTAGCGTAGCATGACGTATGTGTGGAAGTGCAAGAGAACCTTGCAGTCGCAAAGAACGTTAACATCCCCCCCCACCCCCACCCCCACCCCCCCCCACCCGGTTCACAATCACAATGACAAGAAGAACACACAAAACCGAAAAAATGGAGACAGCACACGGCCCCTTAACAGCGTCGACACCAAAAACATCGGCGTGGTAACGTACGGTTTTGGATTTTGTATTAAAAAAGTGGTGTGATCATCACAATCGGGGTTTTGTAATATGCAACATGGTTTGACCCTCAAACATGGGTTGGGGGGGCTACGGCCACAGCAAAAATTGAGAGTTTAGAATGGTGTAACGCTGTAACCTTCAAGAAATGGGAGTTTAACATGATTTAAATTGAGAGTTTAGAATGGTGCAACACTGCAACCTTCAAGAGACCGCGAAAATCGTGGTCCAAGACCAACAAATGCAGCATAAACTTCCCCCATGTCAGGTATTGCAAAAAAAAGAGTGTGTGTGTGTGTTGAAAATGGGTGCGTTACTTACCTGTAATTTTATAGAAATGTGATGAAATGTGAAAATGTGGGGAACCCAATAAGATAAACAACTACCATTTGGGGATGGTGACTCTACCATTTGGCGTTTGGGAATGGTTGGGTTTTCAGGGGACATCATCATTAATCCATGGGATTCTTGGGGTTCCTACATAGTAACGGGAGCAAATCAAAGTCTATTTAGTCAATATATCCCCCTAAAATCTTCTAACATCACGAACCCAAACAAAGGCCATCTGAAATTTCATGGAAGAGTCCATGCGGGTTATGTAAACTAAGGCTGAGGGCGCTGCCATACCTGCAAAGTCTCATGTTTGACCATCATGTTCTCCAGTAAACTTGCCCCGTTGGAGCATCCCCCGCTTATTGGACTAAGCTACCTCAATGCTCACGTGAATCTAATTTATAGAAAACAATATGCCAACTGTGTATGGTATTTACCATGAATATTGGCAATCCAGCGTGGAAGTCTGAAAAATAAAAAGTGAGAGTAGGCAAATTGTCTACCAAGGGTTGAAACTTCCGACCAATTTCTATTGCCAGAGGTTACACCTACATTTGAACATTGTGCATACTGCCAATCAAAGCAAAAAACATATAACATGTATATATATATATATAATCAAACATAGAGGAACATATTGTTTGGATTCCATTTTTTGATGCGAAATCAACTGCCCATCCATTTTTTCGTGGGTTAAATCAAAGAAGCTGTCATGTATATCCAAATCAGTGCTGGTACCTTTCCCCAATATACCTACAGGAAAAACACCCCCCCCCTTAAAAACTGGTTTCACCTGGCTCATTGTATGTTCACCCATCTAAACAGTTCGATATATCCAAGAAACACACCACAGTTGGCCTAGTTGAATACCGGCAGAAACCTGCCTATCATACATAATTAAGCTATCATAAACTATCATTTCCATGATCCCCACGTTTGGTTCTCCAAAAATGACCAACATATTCAAAAAATGCATGCGCTTTATACCCTCTGGTTATTTAACATAGCCATGGAAATGGCCTATAGAAATAGATGGTTTACCTATTAAAAATGGGTGGATCTTTCCATGGCTATGTTAGTCATAACCAGATGGTAAATCACCAAAATAACTAAAGAAACAGAACAAAATGAAAATACATGAGACATCTAACAACAATCAAACAACAAAAATCAACAAATATTCACTTTCCAAACACATACACTATATAATAAGGTTGGTCATTTAATAATTTCCCTATTTTGATCAAATCATCTCAAATCCCCGTATTTTCCTCACTTAAATCCCAGTTCTATCTTCCAAAAACCATCCAAACAACAACACAATTTAAAAAAAAAAAACATATCTAGGAACAAAAATATTTGAGCCCTTCCAAAGCCCGAAAAATATCTCTGAACTATACTTACCTCTCCCTAGTGTGGGCGCCACCGTCCTCAGGCGTTTCCTCTGGTGGTGGCGGTGGCTCAGGTGCCTCCTCTGGTGGGGCTTCGGAGGGCGGCTCTGGGATACCTGGCGCCGGGGCTGATCTCCCGATCCCGTCTCTTAAGGGTAGAAATTTTGGAAACCCGACCGCCCATTCGAAGTTTCAGTCCGTAACTATAACCAGAAAATAAACCCAAAACATATCCCCAACAGCAACAACCACATGAAAAAGTCAACAAATGTTTGTCGGAATGATGTTTGAGAGCTGTTTGAAAAAAAACGAAATAAACCTTTGATTGACAATCTGTCGGGAAACAAAAACTTTCTTTGAGAGCTGTTCCTGGGAGCTTTGCTTGGCAACCAGTTCTTGGAATCCTTGCTTGGAAACATTCTCTTGGGAATCTTGCTTGGGAACCTGGCTTGGGAACCTCTTCCTGGGAACCTTGGGGAACCTTGGGAACCTTGCTTGGGAACCTCGCTTGGAAACGTGCTCTTGGGAACCTTGCTTCGAAACCTTTGGCCACCTTCCTTGGGAACCTTGCTTGGGAACCTGGCTTGGGAATCTTTGGGAACCTCTTCCTGGGAACCTTTGCGGGTCTTGCTTGGCAACTTTGCTTGGGAACCTGCTCTTAGGAACCTTGCTCGGGAACGTTGCTTGGGAACCTTGCTTGGGAACCTTGCTTGGGAACCTGGCTTGGGAACCTGGCTTGGGAACCTGGCTTGGGAACCTTGGGAACCTGGCTTGGGAACCTTGCTTGGGAACCTGGCTTGGGAACCTGGCTTGGGAACCTGGCTTGGGAACCTGGCTTGGGAACCTGTCTTGGGAACCTTGCTTGGTAACCTGTTCCTGGGAGCCTTGGGAACCTCTTCCTGGGAACCTTTGGGAACCTCTTCCTGGGAACCTTTGGGAACCTTGGGAACCTTGCTTGGGAACCTCGCTTGGAAACGTGCTCTTGGGAACCTTGCTTCGAAACCTTTGGCCACCTTCCTTGGGAACCTTGCTTGGGAACCTGGCTTGGGAATCTTTGGGAACCTCTTCCTGGGAACCTTTGCGAGTCTTGCTTGGCAACTTTGCTTGGGAACCTGGCTTGGGAACCTTGCTTCGAAACCTTTGGCCACCTTCCTTGGGAACCTTGCTTGGGAACCTGGCTTGGGAATCTTTGGGAACCCCTTCCTGGGAACCTGGGAACTTTGGCAATCCGGATTTTGGCTGCTCCGACCTGCTCCGGTAGAGACCCCAAGCTTACGCTGTTGGTGAAAAAAACGAAATAAACCTTTGATTGACAATCTGTCGGGAAACAAAAACTTTCTTTGAGAGCTGTTCCTGGGAGCTTTGCTTGGCAACCAGTTCTTGGAATCCTTGCTTGGAAACATTCTCTTGGGAATCTTGCTTGGGAACCTGGCTTGGGAACCTCTTCCTGGGAACCTTTGGGAACCTTGGGAACCTTGCTTGGGAACCTCGCTTGGAAACGTGCTCTTGGGAACCTTGCTTCGAAACCTTTGGCCACCTTCCTTGGGAACCTTGCTTGGGAACCTGGCTTGGGAATCTTTGGGAACCTCTTCCTGGGAACCTTTGCGGGTCTTGCTTGGCAACTTTGCTTGGGAACCTGCTCTTAGGAACCTTGCTCGGGAACGTTGCTTGGGAACCTTGCTTGGGAACCTTGCTTGGGAACCTGGCTTGGGAACCTGGCTTGGGAACCTGGCTTGGGAACCTTGGGAACCTGGCTTGGGAACCTTGCTTGGGAACCTGGCTTGGGAACCTGGCTTGGGAACCTGGCTTGGGAACCTGGCTTGGGAACCTGTCTTGGGAACCTTGCTTGGTAACCTGTTCCTGGGAGCCTTGGGAACCTCTTCCTGGGAACCTTTGGGAACCTCTTCCTGGGAACCTTTGGGAACCTTGGGAACCTTGCTTGGGAACCTCGCTTGGAAACGTGCTCTTGGGAACCTTGCTTCGAAACCTTTGGCCACCTTCCTTGGGAACCTTGCTTGGGAACCTGGCTTGGGAATCTTTGGGAACCTCTTCCTGGGAACCTTTGCGAGTCTTGCTTGGCAACTTTGCTTGGGAACCTGGCTTGGGAACCTTGCTTCGAAACCTTTGGCCACCTTCCTTGGGAACCTTGCTTGGGAACCTGGCTTGGGAATCTTTGGGAACCCCTTCCTGGGAACCTGGGAACTTTGGCAATCCGGATTTTGGCTGCTCCGACCTGCTCCGGTAGAGACCCCAAGCTTACGCTGTTGGGGAAAAAATATAGAAGGGGATTAAAGGATGATTGAAGGATCCATTTGAACATTAATCCACTCATACAGTGATATCCCTGTATCTATACCAACCATGCAACAGGTGATGTTGCAAATGCCACTGTCCAAGCCCTGCTATACATGGATATCTAAACTTAGTTAATGGCATACCCCAAAATCCATTTGCTGCTTCCGGGGAAACCCTACTTTCAGACTCACCCAAAGATCATAATCATTAATTATTCAGTTGGTATAGGAAAACTCCACCATTTTGGTTGGCTAAATCTCATCAACCGTTTCATCCCAATTTTTTATCACTGAACAATCCCAAACTTGCTAGTTCAATCCCCAATGTTGGCTGTTTAAATTGCTATACGTATGTATTAAAAAAACATAGAGAGAGATAGATGATTATATATATATACATACATATGTAATGCATGTAATGTATGTATTGTATGTAATGTATGTAATGTATGTAATGTATGTAATGTATGTATTGTAAGTAATGTATGTAATGTAATGTAATGTAATGTAATGTAATGTAATGTAATGTAATGTAATGTAATGTATGTAATGTAATGTAATGTAATGTAATATAATGTAATGTAATGTAATGTAATGGAATTATGTATGTATGTATGCATGCATGCATGCATGTATGTATGTATGTATGTTGTATGTGTGTGTATGTATGGTATGGTATGGTATGGTATGCGATGCTATGCTATGCTATGCTATGGTATGTATGTATGTTTGACTGTTCTATTTGTTTTGCGGGTTGTTATACATGTAATTTAGTCACCCTGGACTAGATAGAATCTGGAAATTCAAACACATTCTCATCAAAATGGGAATATCAGTGACAAATTGATATTCAATCAACTTCAGGATGATGATATATTCTATAATATTCTATATATATATATATATGTATCATTCAAGCTGCCTTTTGCATCCACCGGTCCCCCATATATTACTCGTCCGTTGCCAGGCACACCATCCGCACTCGGAGGTGTGGCTCCTTCGTTGAGGCTTTCCTGCCAGAAAACATCGGAGAATTCGCTAACAAGTTATGGGAGAATGCATGGGAAAACAATATAGTACCTTAAACTAATAAGTGATATATAGATAGTGATATAGTGATATAGTGATATAGTGATATAGTGATATAGTGATATAGTGATATAGTGATATAGTGATATAGTGCCTTAAAACAATATAGATGGTGATATAGTGATGATCTATATAGGTGATATAATGATATAGTACCTTAAACTCATTCTGGTTGGTGGTGCAATAACCAATAGGTTTAATATCTTGTGCTGGAAAACTCTACAAACCGTGAAATCTAATATGTAATGATATGTATGAACATGTAATATCTGGTTGGTGGTATACCTACCCCTCTGAAACATATGAAAGTCAGTTGGGATTATTGTTCCCAATATACAGAACAAAAAATGTTCCAAACCACCAACCAGATATAGATATGATATAGATATGATATAGTAAATAGCTTTAATATCGCTTCATCAACTATTATAATGGTAAGTATATTAACTATTACTATTATTACTATTAGTAGTATTACTACTTACTACCATTACTGCTTGGTGGTGCAATAACCATCTTGAAACATAAGAAAGTCAATGGGAAGGATGATCCCATATGCAATGGGAAAATAAACTAGACGACGGATGGCCCGAGAGCGTAGAGGAGCAGGGTCTTCTCTTGTTAGTATGGAGATGCAATTTTAGAAACGGTATATGAAAGCTGTGTTATAGGCAGTCGAGAAGAGGAGTATCAAGACAAAATAGTGAGAAGTGCAAGACAATAGTTTGCATCGCAAACACTTTTACACACAGACGCTTTTTACACACAGACGCTTTTTACACACAAAGCTTTTACCCACAGAAGCTTTTACACACAGAAGCTTTTACAGACAGAAGCTTTTACACACAGAAGCTTTTACATACAAACACTTTTACACACAGACGCTTTTACACACAAACGCTTTGACACACAGACGCTTTTACACACAAACGCTTTTACACACAGACCCTTTTACACACAGACGCCTTTACACACAGACACTTTTACACACAGACGCTTTGACACACAAACACATTTACACACAGACGCTTTGACACACAAACACATTTACACACAGACGCTTTTACACACAGACGCTTTTTACACACAGACGCTTTTTACACACAGACGCTTTGACACACAAACACATTTACACACAGAGGCTTTTACACACAAACGCTTTTACACAAACACTTTTACACACAAACACTTTTACACACAGACGCTTTTACACACAGACGCTTTGACACACAGACGCTTTTACACATAGACGCTTTTACACACAGACGCTTTTACACACAGAGACTTTTACACACAGAGACGCTTTTACACACAGAAGCTTTTACACACAGACGCTTTTACACACAGACGCTTTTACACACAGACGAAAGGGTTGCTCCGGCACAGGAAAAATCGCAATTTTACCTCAGTTTCTACCGATCGCCCCTCATTTCGTGCGAAAGGGTTGCTCCGGCACAAGTAAAATCGCAATTTTACCTCAGTTTTTGCCGATCGACCCTCATTTCGTGCGAAAGGGTTGCTCCGGGGCAAGTCAAATCGCAATTTTACCTCGTTTTTGCGATCGAGACCGGTGGGTCATTACTTCGTGCGAAAGAGTTGCTCCGGGACAAGTAAAATCGCAATTTAACCTCAGTTTTTGACGATCGACCCTCATTTCGTGCGAAAGCGTTGCTCTGGCACAAGTAAAATCACAATTTTTCCTCAGTTTTTGGCGATCGAACCTCATTTCGTGCGAAAGGGTTGCTCCAGCACAAGTAAAATCGCAATTTAACCTCAGTTTTTGCGCATCGACCCTCATTTCGTGCGAAAGGGTTGCTCCGGGACAAGTCCTGCACAAGTAAATTCGCAATTTTTCCTCAGTTTTTGACGATCGACCCTCATTTCGTGCGAAAGGGTTGCTTTAGCACAAGTAAAATCGCAATTTTTCTTCAGTTTTTGACGATCGACCCTCATTTCGTGCGAAAGGGTTGACGTTTCGTGACTCGCCGCCGGCACCACCCTCGGCCTTAAGAGAGAAAGATAAAAAGAAGGCGTGAGAGAGAAGGTGAGCACGTGTGAAGATAAGAAGATGTGAAGATGAGCAGATGTGAAGATGAGCAGATGTGAAGATGAGAAGATGTGAAGATGAGCAGATGTGAAGATGAGCAGATGTGAAGATGAGCAGGTGTGAAGATGAGCAGGTGTGAAGATAAGCAGATGTGAAGATGAGCAGATGTAAAGATGAGCAGATGTGAAGATGAGCAGATGTGAAGATGAGCAGATGTGAAGATGAGCAGATGTGAAGATGAGCAGATGTGAAGATGAGCATATGTGAAGATGAGCAGATGTGAAGATGAGCAGATGTGAAGATGGGAAGGTGTGAAGATGAGCAGATGTGAAGATGAGAAGATGTGAAGATGGGAAGGTGTGAAGATGAGCAGATGTGAAGATGAGAGGATGTGAAGATGAGAGGATGTGAAGATGAGCAGATGTGAAGATGAGAGGATGTGAAGATGAGAGGATGTAAAGATGAAAAGTGTGAAGATGAGAAGGATGTGCAGATGCGCGTGTGTACCTGACTTAAACAAAGCTGTGAAGATGAGAGGATGTGAAGATGAGATGTGAAGATGAGAGGATGTGAAGATGAGATGTGAAGATGAGATGTGAAGATGAGAAGATGTTTTACAGACCCCCACTATTGGAAGAACCCTGCGCTCAGACGCTCTCGGGAAAAATGTTTGAAACCACCAACCAGTATAGGTTTAATATCGCTTCATCAAGAAACCAATCATAACTTCATTGCCGTTTTTTTTTGTTTTTCTGACCAAATAAGAATGGGAATGTACAGTAATCAACAACAAAAAGGATTTATACTGTAGTTGATATAGCTACTGCAATTTGTGTTAGCTAAGTTGCTGCAAATGACTTGGTTCACCATAGTTGATGGAGAATACAACTAGAGACACCATGGGCTTTACAAACCAACTTGTACATTATGGTATAACCATGTATAACCAGTAAAACCATGCTAGAACCAATGATTAACATTGATTAACCTGGTATAAGCCACGTTTTTCACATGCTATCTCCATGCTATCCAACATGTTTACCCACCTTTTAAAGTCCCCCACCGGCAGGGCCACGTTTCACCTTCAGCTTCAGGACACGGGCCACCGGATCGTTGGGGCCTTTGATCCTGGCGCGTCAAGACGGGGGGTGCAGTAACGGGTAACGCCACTTGGGTCATGGCTCCAATCATCGCCAGGAAAAACAAGATTGTAATAGCTATATATCTATAATATATAGTAATAGATACATATAATTATACATGACATATATTATAGTAATATATTATTGTAAATATGTATATATATACATACGTAATAGTAATATATCTATAATAGTGTATAGTACTAGACGTATATGTATATATGTATAATTGTATGATTATGTATATCTATAATATCTATATTAATGATAATAATGATCCATTATAATAATCCAATAATTATCCATCATTATTCATCAAACAATTATCCTTGATTAATCATCCATTACTGGTTGGTGGTATACCTACCCCTCTGAAAAATATGAAAGTCAGTTGGGATGATAATTCCAATATATATATATATGGAAAAAATAAAAAATGATCCAAACCAACAACCGGATATTGTAAAATGGAAAAGCTATTGTGAGTAATGACCATCATGAAATAGTTAACAATAATAAACCATCCCCAGTCATCAGCATCTTTATAGGTGGCATGGTTAGCATTATTGGAAAAGTAGCTATTGTGAGTAATGACCATCATTAAATATTGTGAGGACAATAATAATATGATATTCTTCATTGACTTGTAAAATAATATTGTGAGTAAAGTAAGATAACTATGGAACATCACCATGTTTCATGGGTAAAACAACTATTTCTATTGCCATGTTCAATAGCTATGTGGCTAAAACAATGCCATAAACATTCGCCCAAATCACCATAAATAGGTGGTATAAACTTACCATTCCCAGTCATGGGTAGTGTATGACATTGTTTCAACCATATTAACTAGGGCTTATGATACATATATCAGATCAGATCATCATATATCTAACTAGTTTTTTTTTTTTTTTTAAGGGGGTTATAAACCAACTTACAACTAGGGGGGCACCACATTGTATCTTTGAAACCATTCAGGTAAGGGTAATATGATCATATAATAATATATTCTAGTATAAATTTAGGAGAATATGGGATGATGATTGTTGACTGATCAAGTAACTAATATTAATTCAATTGAAACCATTGTGGTACTGAGAACATGACTATGGGATTGATTTCGGCATTTTATCACTCCATTGAAAACATTGGGGATAGTATGGTAATTAGTGGCATTGAAACCACTGGGGGTAATATGAGTATGTCCGATTGACCAAATAGGTGTTGATTATTGATCAAATAATAAGGATAATACGGGACCACGGGATAATGATCATTGACGAACTATGGCCTAACTATGATTACTTGAGTCAAATGTGCTGAACTATGGCAACTATCAAACACTATTATATCAGGGTTGCTCCAAACACCACAAATACAAGGGGAATGGCTTGGGAGAAACCTGGGAATGTAACCATCAGAAGTAACAACTATAACCGACTTGAAAATGAGGGATAACTGAGCAAAAACTCATCAACTAGGAATCATCATCCGACAAAGGGCATGGACACCATCCAGTGCCGTAAACCTCATCGTCCCTATGTGACCTGACTGTCCTTTTTGTTGTCGAATTATCATCCCTATTGTGTAGCAATTTAGTAAGGACTTATATCCTTATCAACGTTATCCCTTAAATATGACACATCCCACATCCCTATAAAACCATAGTTTAGTAGCGGATCTACACAGATTTGGAACATTTTGGAACCATAGAATGGGGGTGTTTAACCAAACCAGCTGCTGCCAGGACACTGAAACTCGATCTTGCCCCTTTGCCTCTCCTTCTCCTGACATCAAAAAGTTGCATGGTAGTTGTGGTAGATAATATCCCACCTGGTTTAACAGATTGTCATGCTGTAAGGAGATAAACAGAGAATCAGCTTGTTGATTCTGGTCATGGTAGATTATACCCCCTGGCTTTAGATGTTCACAGGGATTCGGATAACTGAGAATAGGAAACACATACTGACAAACCAATAGACTGGGATGGGATACACACGTTCACATCTTTGGAAAAGCTACAGGGAAACCCAAGGAACTTGATCTGCAAATGTGGCTTCTTACCATGGAATGCAACCTGAAATCAAAACATTTGGAGATATGGATTCAAAGAAACCGCCTCGCCATCATCACGTGCAAAGAGCATGTCCAGTTAGGTCCTCTCTACAGCTAATAGTTTAACCTAGGCTTCACTGGAACGTCACTGGCTGGGGCCCCTATAACAATGGACAACCGCTGAGTTGGAACTGCACCAAGTCCAGCATCCAAGTAGTTTTTTTGGTGTTTCAGCCCAGCTATTCCTCTAGCTTCATGGATCTTCACGGATTCTTGAACTTCTAGATATATTAATGTATGTATAACATATTCCCATTATACATACAGGATGGGGCCCCCCACTTATAAATTGGTTTATAAACCATTATAATCCCCATTAACTGTAGTTATATCTACCATAAACCATTGTTAAGCCACTTATAAACCAACTTAGCTATCTTGGGGGCCCCATCCTGTACCCATTGTTAGCATTTCGTTTTTTCAAACAGCTTAGATCTCGATTCGAGGGCCGTACGGGATGGTCCCACATTGAAACCACCAGTGATATCAGAGCCATCCCAGTTGCTACGTTGCTCAAACCCAATATTATATACATATATATATAATTATATATACTATACATATTATTGCATAATACTATATTATGGCTGGGGGAACGCTGGGTCTATTTTACATACTGCAGTTACTGGAGTATTTCACATGGTTGTTACCCACAAAAAACGATGCCTGGATCCCGCACCCCAGACCCATCGCACTCCAAACTTCTGGTTGTAACCCCAAATATTTGACATTAAGATAACCATTGTTTCTGGTTACATGCCGACTTCTCTTGATTGTATATGAATGACTGATGGTGAATAAGTATCTCAAGTTAAGTTTTGTTGAATATTGATGCTTGAGAAATCTTCATAAATTTGATGGTGACAAGTTTCTTTGATTATTAAATTATTGATGGTAAAAAAAGATTAAAAAAAAAGTATCATTGATTCTGTTGGTCTGCCCCCAAAAAATAACATATTTGAAACTCAAATCCCCATTCTTTTTGAGTATTGATATGGGTGTGTCTGAAAATAGTGTACCCCTAAACCCAATGGTTAATGATCATTATCCCTATTAAATGGCTATAATTGGGAATATACCCTATTTTCAGACAAACCCATATTAATGGCATCCCCAGTCTTGTTGATTATTGATGCTTAAAAAGTGAGCCACCCAGAAAAAAAATCTCCACCTCTTTGGCCGCTTGGTTTCGCTTGGCCGTTTCCTCCCGGCGCATCGTCTGCAGTTCCACCTACCAAAAAGCGACGCCATTTGGGGGTTGGATGCGTCCCAACACCAAGTTTTATATGGCTTTTAGATGCTTTTAGGGGGTTAAACCATCCAACCATATTAGGTTTGATTCATGTAAACTACTGGGTTAAGCTAGGTTTAGCTATCGAATATTTGGTTGAACATGAGGTTTTGGAGTGGAAACACAGTCACCACCAAAATCAAGCGTCAAAAACCCCCCTGCGCCCGACGTGTAGGTCATGAACCAGACTGCCCCTTGAATGGAGAGCAGGTAGTTTGCAGTCACCTTCACGTTCGCCTCCACTGCAGCCTTCTCTGCTGCAGGCACTGCAGCCTTCTCTGCTGCGGGCACAGCAGGAATCCCTGGTAGAATCGAAGCAGCGCTGCCGATATCTGCCGGAGGCCAGCTTTGATCGTCGTTGCCTGCTCGCTTGTTGCAGCTGCGTCATCGCTCAAGATGCAGAACGCCCCGGCTGCATCCGACCACGAGGTCTGCCATGTCAGTGGCATCGAAGACCAGAAACAAGCACCAGCAAAAGAACAGTTCGGAACACCGTAGCAAAGATGGATTTTCTATGGGAGGAGACACAAAGCCGGGAAAAAAACAACTTTTTCTGGGGATTTAGTTCTGGCCCTCACATCAAGTCTCAGGCAGGGATCTAAGATCTGGGGAAAGTGCGAAAAAACACCCAGCTGGTCGTTGAATCGGCTGGTTAAGTGAACCCAGATGCTGACTATATAGACTGTTTACAAAGTAATTGTTTACTGTAACTTCCCCATCTTTCCTGTTTACTGTAACTTCCCCATCTTTCCCGGTGACATATCCCAAATGCTCCATGGTGCTGGAATATTTACCTACAAAACTGGGCAATTTTTAGGGTATATGTAGGTAAATATGCCAGCACCATGGAGCATCTGGGTATGGGTAAATCATGTTACCCTCTGGTAAACTAACATAATGATAGCTATTGAACATGGCCATTTATAGTGGATTTTCCCATGAAACATTGTGATTTTCCATAGTTTTTTGTATGTTTACCAGAGGGTAAATCACCATTGGAACCCCGGTATCCCCGGTAAAACAAAGGATTGCCTCAAGATCATCGTGGGAGAAGGCTGCTGCCACCTCGGTCAGCAAGTTGGATAATCACCAGAAAACATGGAGGAAAACTGTGGTCAGATTTGAGGTTTCCCCTGATTTAACAAACAATCATGTTGCTTGTTTTCTATATTAGGATAATTTAAGATACATTACATATATATATAATAATATATTTATGTATATGTATAATAAAACTATACATATATATATATATATATAATAGTTTTAAATAGTTTAATATAATATAAATGATTATTATATAATTGTTGAGGTTACCTCCCCAGTGTCGATGGATAGCTGGTCATGGAGTTTTTTCGCTGGGCAGTCCATGGAAGCTCCCGGGGACGACTGTCGGTCCAAAGGAATCCCAAAAAATCGATGGTTTATAAGGGAAAATCCATCCATAAATGGATGATTTAGGGGTACCCCCCATTTTAGGAAACCTCCATATAAAATATTCCAATCAACGAAGCAAATATTGTCGGCCAAATATGGGCGGCCAGCATGCATTGTCGCTCTCGTTTTTTCTCCAAGCCTGAAAAACATGTGCAACCGTTACCGTTGATGGATGTGCTGTGATAGCTCTGACGTAGCAGATCTTAGACTACCTCCAAAACACGAACGTGTCTGCAAAGTATTAGCCACTATCATTACGCAATAGCATGTATTCAGATTGACTCATGCTCAATAAGCTTTCTGATGAAAAATGCATTGGCTCCTGCACAATGTTGTTCACCATCTTGGTGGATCCCCAACACTATTTTGTTGATGGGGTGATGGGGATGTAATGGAAGTGCAACCAACAGACCCTGAATATTGATGAATTGATGGTTTGATTCTATCAGCCCTAAATTAATAAACACCAATCTAAAATAATAAGGCGGGGGTACCATTTTCATAGGAAATTATCACTGTTTGGGTCTAGATTAATCAACCGGAATTGATTAATCTGGAGTTGGCATTCATTTAGATAAAGAAATGTATCGTCAACCCCCAACATCATGGGATTTATGGGATAATGTGTTTTGGCAAACAAACTCACCTTTTTGGGGGTGGCTGATGGTCACTCTAGAACCGCCATCTGATTGCAACACGTAGCTATATCTACCATGAACCCTGTAGTCATAAACCAACTGAGCTAGCTATGGGGCACCACCTGGTATGGGTTTGTTTGAAAACACTTGGTGGTTCATCCCACGTAACCGACGTAGGTGAATTCCTTGGTTATAAGTGGGATAAGTAGGCTTAATCCACTTATAACTGGGTTATAACTTACTTAGTAAGTGGGATGAACCACCAAGTAGTGTTTACCATAAGTCCCTTGCTTGATCATATGTTCTCTCTTTGACGTGGCCATCAAATGCAATCATATCCGAATAGGGCAAAACCACATCATATAATTCTTTCATACCCTCATACACAATAAACAGGCGGGTTTCTTACAGTTAGTGTTATAGCATTTTTTTTAGATGCTATAGATGGTGGTAGTTTGCTATATCCCCATTTCTTGACAAGCTCATACCATTTTTGGTACCCTCTGGTAATTTAACATAGCTATTGAAAATGGCCATTTATAGTGGATTTACCCATTAAAAATGGTGATTTTCCATAGTTATGTTAATTTACCAGAGGGTATCCCAAAAAAACATGAAAAAAACATATTGTTGCTGAAATCCTCATGAAATGGACCGAAAAATCCCACCGTTTCCTGAAGGTCTTGGAAACACGTTCGCCTCCAAAAGCAGTATGAACATGTGAAAAACCTTGTCAGACTTGATGCAGGTCTGTTCCAGCAAACGGAACAGTACTCGCTTCAATGATTTTCAGATAACTCAGTGGGGCATCTGCGAGGTTCAAACCATTTACTACCAAAATGGGTTGGCAAACAAGGTTCGTAAGGGTTCCTGAATGATTTTGAACCTCTCAAGGGAAATGGACAAATTGTTCCGCATATATTCTCGAAAAGGTATGAACAAAATGGGGATAGGTGAAGGGTTTAACTGGCTGACATCGGCCCTTGGTTCTGCGGTCTTGCAGACTCTACAGTTATGGCCTGAAATACCAGTTATGAGTACTAACAAGTCACTCCATTTATAGTTTATGTATAATCCCATAGAAATAACCAGTTATAACTAATAAATGGCCACAACTGTAATGATATTCCCATACTGTTGGTTTCTAAAGATACGCCCATCATGTTGGGATCCTCTGTTCATCAAACATGGCTGGGAAAGCCACCAAAATCACGTCATTTACATTCATTTACAACACTTACAGATGATTTTGTTCCATGTTTTCCATGATTTTCCATGATTTTCCATAATTTTCCATGTTTTTCCATGTTTTTCCATGATTTTCCCTACATTTTCCATGATTTTCCATGTTTTTTTCCATAATTTTCCATGATTTTCGAATGATTTTCCCTTCATTCATCGAGAATTTCACTGCCACCGAGCCGACGACCCGAGCCCGGCTGAGGCCATGACTTTCTTCACGTGGCTTCTGCCATCGCCTTTCTTAACGTTAGGCGTCGATGGATTTCATGGAGACCAAGCCGTCTATGCAGATATAGTTGACAGAAGCCACAAAAATGTGAGTATTTGGTGGGGATATATGGTGATATATAGCATTTAAGGTGGGGATATAGTATGCAGATATGTATGATATGGTGATATAGTGATATAGTATTTGGTGGGGATGTATATATAAGGATTATATAGCCCACTCAAAATGCTACATGGGTGTCGTAAATCATTGGGAAGGCGTGGGAAGGCAGCATCTTACACCTACGAGGCGGGAGTTCACGTACCTTTTGGTCAAATCTCAATTTGAAGAATCAATTCCTTTGATTTTTCATTAATATTGTTCTCACAAGCCCAAGTTCTTTCCCAAAGTTCACATTGCTTGCTAAATCACCTGAAACTCATCACAATCCCGAATCCCAAATGATCGTCAGTCACCAGCTGACGTTAGCCCCGCCCATGTTTCAAGGTTGAAGCCGGTATCCATAGATCCCAATAAAACAAATCGAATATCAACAAACATCCCAACTGTAACGGCTTTTATCTGAAATATGATCGCCCCAGCTTAAATCCATGTGTTTCATAATGTTCCAAGTAAATGTGTTGTGGTGTGAATGTCGTGGAACGTTCCGACACACTCGGACCGATACTATATCATGTTGCAGGTTCTGTGTCACCGTTATATGAATCACATTTATTTCCAGGGTTTTCTTGATAAAACAAAAAAAAATGTATATAAATATATACTGTATATATTAATAATATATAAGTTGGTTCGGTCATATAACGGATTGTATCCATATCCGAAGTTCTGTTGGTTCAATTCCCTATGGCACCTGACATATATTTTATTCTTGTTGGTCAAATTTCCCGTTTTGTCGCTGGACATACATCTTTGATTGGTTTAATCCCCCATTTATGGCATAGGTTGGTCGTTATAATATATTATACTCCCCATCGTATTCCCATTCGGTCACCATTAAAACCCAATTATATTGAAGATTGTTTGTTGCTGAAATCCCCTATGGTTGGATATCTTACCCTCTCGTAATTTATATAACATAGTCACGGAGACTGCCCCTTTTTTCCCGATACTTACAATTTTATCAATTTTGTCACATGACATTAGGTCCAAGCAACTGATCAAAGCAATCATCAGGAGGGAGCCACTCCAGATATGCTGTCAGCAAATCATGCCCCAGATCTGCACCTTCCAAAGGAACAAGCTCAGAAGCTATGGTCACTTCTGCCACAGGAGGATATCTCTGATCCCTCTGCTGGGATCCACCGAAGTTCCAAAGGACCGTCCAAAAACGGCCCGTTCCCTTCACGAAGCGTGTGCCTTCGCCTTTGTCAATCACCGCTCCCTGAGTGCCTCAGTGGGATCCGGCGCAGCTGCCGCAATTTGGCCTCCCTCTCGACAAAGTGGATGGTGGATCAGCGTCCATGGCATCCATTGCTCCCGGCCATGAGTCATCCATCTGGGTAAATTATCCCCAGTAACTATAGTTATAAATACCATAAACCATAGTTATAAATACCATTAAATACCATAATACCATACCCAGATCCATCCCCATCCCCTCCTCCCGGCCATTCTCCGCCTGCGCTGGCCTTCGGCCTGGCTCCGCATGCCGCCGACTTCGCCGCCACGGCGGCGGCCTTCGACTTGGCCGCCGGCTGCGCCGGCGGTGCGGCAGGCGGCTCCTGGGGTTTTGACAAAAATCGATGGGAAATTGGGTGGACACTCTGCAAGAACGTTGGGAAATCATGTCTATATTTTTTTTTTTTATAAACCATAGATAACCATAGTAAATATATGTAAATATAGTAAAATAGCATCTTGTATCCTCCAAAAAAAAGCCTTGTGATTGGAAGTATTTGCACCAAGTTTGATACTCTACACCAGGGAATCATGGTCGTCTATACTATCCTGGATTCCAATTTCTCCGTCATTCATGTTTTTTGGGGGGTTGGAACAAACATCACGAAACACACTCCAGGGTGAACTCAGCAAAATCCAACTGAAATCCCAAGCGGTCTATTAAGATATTAAGATTAGCAGTTATTTTCTGATCATTTCGGAAACAAATCCAAAGATGTTAAGATAAGCGCCTAAGTATGAACAACATATATTGATATGTGTGAAAAAAAACAATGGGAATCCAAACAGCTATATAAATCTTTCCGACAATGAATTATATCAATCCACAAACGTTAACGACATGGGTTTGTCTTATCCATTTTATGAGCATCATGTTCTCCATTAAAAGAACCATTTGGGTGCATATGTCCATATATGTCCTATGTTTTCCCGTGAATCAGCGATTCAAATCCCGTCAAATCTCCAGTTGGTTTGTTGGTGATCACCATTTTCCTCCATTTTCCTAAGTTTTTCCCAAACTTTCACCATTTTCCTAGGCTTTTCCTTCAATTTCCACCATTTTCCCATGGTTTTCCCCACGTTTTTTCCACGTCTTCGTCGTTTCACAACGGCGTCCTTCAGCTTTTTTTCCACCGCCGCCTTGGTGGCCGTGGCCGCCGCCTTGCGCTCCGCCTCTTCGGGCTCCACCACCTGACGTAGAGCGGTGACTGGGTGCAATGGTGGTAGAGTCAATGGCCATTGAAAATGGTGATTTAATGGGATTTTAATGGGATTTCATGGTGATTTTCATGGGATTAATGGGATATACCCTCTGGTAAACATACAAAAAGCTATTGAACATGGCCCAGTCGAAATAGTGGATTTACCCATTGAAAATGGTGATGTTCCATATTTACCAGAGGGTAAATTGGAGGTACCTACCATATATAAGGCCTATGTAAGGCCTATGTAAGGGAATATCCCCATAAAATATGGCCTGAAAAATGGTACTAACGTACCTCCATTTTAGGATCCGGAAATTCCCATTGATAGAACGAATTACTATAGTGATAATAATTATGGTGATAACAATAACAATAGTAATCATATTACTATGGTGATAATAACTATGGTGATAATAACTATAATAACAATAACACTAATAATAATAATAACACAACAGCAATATTCAGTGGTATAACTAAAAGTCATTACGATGCACTATTAGTGACAATAGTAAACTAAATTGGTATTCTACTAATATTAGTGAACACTTCAATCTTTAGTTTCAATATATTCACTAGTGACAACAGTAAAATATAGTGATTATACTAACTATAACCAATAGTTTAACCATAAACAATATAACTATATAGTATAGTTAATGGTGGTAAAACAAATTACTATTAATGGTGGTACTAATATTACTAATTAGTATAGCCATAGTCCATAGTAGTAATAGTTAAGAAGTGGACCACCAATGGGATTTGTTACAAGATTACAATCATATAGTAAAATGCGAAATGGTGATGATCTAGCAATGGTTAATATTACTAGTAGTGATTGTTTTAGTGGTTGAGATGTGGATCATCAATAGTGATTGTACTAATAGTAGGTCTGTATAGTGATCCAATGGTGAGAATGGTGATAGAACGACTAAGATTAGGCAATGGTGATATAACCATTAAACTAGTGAACACTTTTGCATTACAATGGGATATGATTTAGATTAGAATGTTTTTTATTTTTTGAGATGCTTGTGAGATGCTTGTTGGTTGTGATTATATTCCAGCACTATTGTTCAACAAACAAATGTGAACTACTAAGATTACAATGGGATGTACTGGGACTTTAATGGAATACAATATAACCAATGGTGATATAGCCAACTAAAAATTGTGGTATAAGATGTGTGAGATTCAAAAACCAACAAATGTGATTTAATAGGAGTTAGTAATGGTGAAACCCAATATTCAAGAAAAGTATACGCCAAACTTATCCCAAATTTGGACACACAGCAGTTATTCAGTTCATCATAGGATGATAAATTGAATTTGATTCTGGGAAAAGACAATTCATGATGGCTACGAACCAGATGTGCGTGCTATGAAGTGGTTTACAACCGGTATATTCATATGAATGGAGGTGTCCTAAAATGGGGGATACGCAAGTCACCATAGGTTTCAATCCTAAAGTGGTCATTCATGACTTGGATGAGAACTGGAGGTACCCCTATTTCAGGAAAGTCATATAGTTCATGTATAATAGATAATATCCATTGTCAACAAAACATGGGTTGTAATAAATGAACTAGATGGGGAAAGATAAATATGATTACATCCCATGTATTACTTTTCATTTATTACAATCTACATGGCTTGTAATAAGTGCTTAAGAAATAACCACATTGTGATGCCGGGGATGCACACTCTGAAACCATCGTGCTGATAAAACACCTTCGAAATTGGAAACATGAACTAAGATTGGTGAGCAATGCAAACTGGTCAATTCATTGTGCAAAACTGGTTAATAAAAAACATTGGTTAACAAAACTGGTTAAGAAAAAAACATTGGTTAACAAAACTGGTTAAGAAAAAAACAACATTTATTGTTAATTGAAATAGAACAACTGCTTTACAAAAACAAAAAACACATTGTGAACATCTCGGCCAACAAGTGGATAAACACGAGTACACTCCTGCCACTGGGATATGTGCCATTGGATAAAACTGGATGTTTGCGATGGCCTCGAACATAGCAAAGAACAAGTGCCCCTTTGCACATATGTTCATCTTGGAAATTCAGTTCTTGATTACCATGTTTTTCACTAACAAAGGGTGTTCCCAAAACATCTTGATAATAAAATTTGCGCGCTGAAACATCCAATCCATTGGAAAGGGGCAAACATCCACATCATCCACCCATCGATGGATCGATGTTTTTTTTTGAACATCTACAGGATACCATGTTTTTTTTTCCCATGCATGAAATTTGGGGATTTCCTGGAATCATATTTGCAAAGTGAAGGGGCTATACACCCAAGTTCTATGGCTGTACATGATACAAGTACCTGGTACTTCCAGTGGCTCGGTACTTACAATGGCCTTTTTTGTTCCATTCATTTCCATTCAACCAATCCAACGAACAGATCAACGCAGGCTCCGGTCCTACCTGTGGCTCGTCATCACTACTGCTACTACAGGTCTCTGAAGCCTGGCGAGAGGAAAATTCAGCCACTTCACTTTGAAAAATGGTGCTTGAACTATCACAAAGGGAAACATGTTTATCTAATATTAGTAATATTAGTAGGATTATATTGTTCCGAACCCATTATATAGTGATGAATATATTAGTACACAAAATGGTTCAAACTCAGCCACATCATAGTTCACAAGTCCCATGAAAAACCCTATGGAAAACCATAGGTAGCTGATGGATTTCGCGGGACATGATTGGTCGTTTCGGGCATCAGGGGGGATCAGAAAAGCATGGTTTCAAACATGACCCCAATGAACCACGCATTGTTCCCACGCAGAACGTTCCCCTTGTTGACCAACGAAACATCAAGTACAGATCAAACACTGTGTAAGATTGCATTGTATAATAATCTGAGGGGCCCAGCGGCAATCACTGATGCCTTTCCCAGGATTTTGCAGTTCGAATACTGAGCTCATGGATTTGTCGGCTAAATTCATCCCCATGTTTAGATATGTTTGTTGGCTAAATTACCATGTTTCATCTTTACCCTCCTATAAAGCTAGAAAAAACGATGGACACTCTACCATGCACAGATCATGTTCCTCGGATTTCCCCATCAGTCTTCCATATCTTTTGCATGTGTATCACAAGTTAAATCCACAGGTGGCGAACAAATTCATCAGCACCAAGCACTTGCATTTCTTCATGTTTGTCAAGGATAAATCGCCACATTTCAGGCTTAAATCTGGACATTATCCTGTTAAAAAGAAATCACCTTCTTTCCTCCAGTGCCCCGGATAGATTCCAGCGTTATCGCTGGTCTGTGGGAGATCTTGTGGAACTGGCCAGTCGTGAGTACAAGGTGGCCCCCTTGGTGATGTTTGTTGGCTTATAAACCCATCTAAATCAGAGTTATATCCACCATAAACCCTTGTTATTGTCAGAGTTGTATCCACCATATATCCACCATATATCCACCATATTTCCACTATACACCAACTTGTCGATAGGCTTTGGGGGCATCACATTGTAGTAAGTTTAGTCAGTCCTCCAAGTTCCCAAGCACTTTTGAAAGGGTAACATACGAAAGGGTCTCCCACTCTCTCATTGTCACAGCGCCGCTGCCTCCTTGTTTGTGATATCGGATATACGTTATATACGCTGGTTGGGCAGGTGATTCCACTTAAGGATTTAGTGGGGATATGATTATACAATTGTAAGCAGCTAAAGTTATACTAGCTGGTTGATAGGTTTTCCTACTATGGCTTAGCTTATAGTCCCCAATAACCCCACTAGAATAATTCCTTATAACCAATCACCCATCATTTATCAATTATATCATTCAAAATTGCCGTTGTTTGATTGGTTGTACATCTATATACACTCAAGAATTGATGGGTAAATCCTGATCAAAGACCATTTTCACATCCCAATCAACCAGGCAACCGATCTAAATGGTTCGTGCTAAACCATGCTAAACCCCAATCTATTGGATAGTATTGCTCAGCATTACGACAATCATTAATCCCCACGAAATGGGTTACAGTGATCAATAGCCCTATCCCATCTCATTATGCTAGCTGGTAGTTTTCTCTTACTATAGCTTTGTTTAATCCCCAATAACCCCGGTAGTTTTTCCCCCTAACCAATCACCCATCATTAGCTATAGCTATCCCCAAAGCCTTAAGACTCGATGGTTAAATCCCATTAAAAACATCATTATTCTTGGTTAAATCACCATTTCCCTATGCTTTTCCCATAGGTTTTCCTATGGTTCCCAGCCTTGGCCTTGGCCTTGGCCTTGGCCTTCACAGCCACCTTCGCCTTGGCCTTTGCCACAGGCTTGGAGGAACTACTGCTACTGCTGCTGCTGTCCTGAGCGGCTGGGACTGTATCTGTAATAATGATGATATCTGTAATGATGATATTGACATAATGATGATCTTATTATGATATCAATGGGAATTTCAGGATCCTAAAATGGAGGCCTATGTAAGTGAATATCACCACAAAATATGGCCTGAAAAATGGTACTAACGTACCTCCATTTTAGGATCCTGGAATTCCCATTGATGATATCTGTAATGTATATGATGATATGACCTGAGCAATATATGCAGTGTAATAATGATGATATTGATATGTACTAGTATATGTAAGAATGCAGTGTATTTGATATGTCCTGAGCAATGGCTGCATACTATATGTATCTATAATATTGATACACATTCATGAAGACATTGTGATATGTCATCAACAAATATCAACAATACCAATGGGATTTCTCAACGATAATATCAATAAATATCATCAATATCAATGGACAAACAATGGATAATCAATGGATCTGGGTAAATTATAATATTTCACCGACCTGAAATAAGGCTATTTGAGGATGATGTCCCTATTGTTTCCCCTATTCACCACCGTTCCAGTGAGGGAGAACAGTGGGGTCGTTATAATTTACCCAGACTATATATATATAATATTGATCGACATGTATATATATAATATCATATTATTATCTAAAAAGTTAAAACATGAATGACACATCTAATATTATAGATACATATTACAAAAAGGGGATTAACATCAACTAATATGGTAATATCATGGGCATATGTAGTATATATGTTTATATAAATATGCTAAACATATCTAATAGATTCTTATATATTAACAACCATTATTGCAAATTATATGGACTACTATGTACATATCAACGCATGTATATATGTGGTACTAGTGGCACATTGTGTATATATATATAGTAATTAATGGACAAACAATGACAAACATCCAAAACTGGCGATCCTAACAATCATTGCCACAATGTTCACAGCCTTTGGGGCCTTTTTTGGGTCCAGCGAATTCATTGAGAGTCAGGGTGATGGTTCCAATCCTATAAATGGGTTAAATCATAGGGATATATTGGCAAAGTGAACACAAAGCCACTATAAATGCAGTTTTTTTCAAGGGAAAATCATCGAAATCAATGGGGAAAAAAACCAGCGAAATCTATGTTTGATTGCCATGGCTGGATAATTCTGTGGATGGCTGGGACGGTTAGCAAAGAGGTGTGTCCAGAGGTGGCAAAACATGACTTGATCTGAATGTTACTAGTTTTCCATAAGACCAGTGGCTGGTAACCTGGTAGCCGCCCCTTTCATTCTATCTGGACATTCCATATGTATATATATATATATATGCACAGCATTATGCACAAAATATTATAGATAATAATAACAACACTAGTGATGACGATATATGTAATGAATCCCAAACCATCCCCAAATCTGATTCTAAGGCGTCACCGCTTCATTTCTTTAACAAATGATATCTTGGCGTCTTCAGCGTCTTCAATCCTTCCCTCCACTCCATCTCGCAGGGGGGTCATTCTTGATGGTGAAACCCTTACTTTTTGATGCTCAAATCAACGTTGGAATCAGCAAAATTCACAGGGTTGCTCCCAACACACCAGCTACGGTGCAAATTTATGTAACTTTAGCAAATATAGCGGAAAAATAATTTATCCTCCTTGTGGCTATCATTTACCTATAATGGACTGGAACAACCCTGATTCATAAGCCCAGTTCAAAACCCATTGTTCAAGCAGGCACAGCCGAAGCCTATCATTCTGTGGGAAACCAATCCCAAAAATTAAGACACCTGAAATATACATGCCATGGACAAAATACGGTATGTGTGGTACGGTCAACCCTTTCTCATGAGTATGTACGTCCTTATGCATGGATTGACGACAGCCCCCCATAGCTAACTTGGTTTATAACTGTATATAGGGTTTATATGGCTTTATAATACATATATCTATAGTTATCTTATATATAGTTAATCTACGGTTGTCTGTAGTATTTCTATAGACTTTTAAAATAGTAGTTCTATAGTTATCCATAGTTAATCTATGGTTAATTTATAGCTATCTTATAGTTAATGGGGGCCATAAACCAACGAACATCACTGGGGAACCAGGCCTTCGACTTGGTCTTGGAGCGCTTGCTGCGCTTGCGGCTGCGGCGTGACTTGCTACGCTTGCTGCTCCGGCGCCTGAGGTTTTTTGAGTTGAGGATTTGTTTTTGCTGGACATCATGTATATGTATATATATATATATAACTTATATATATATACATATGATATGATATATGTATATGTATATGTATATATAAATAAATATGTGTATATTCATCTATTTGAGCAATGTTCAGAAGGTCGTCCCTTTCTACTTGGTTTGGTAGTACAGTAGGACTTCCCATGGATGGATGGTGATCATTCCCAATGATAGTTCCCTATAGAAATCAGTCAAAAGGGGTCATGAACACTGTTCATGTAAAAACAAACCCTTTATACCCTTCAGTTTTCAAACACAGCAACCGGAAATCCATGTAAATCCCCTAGAAATAGAGGCTTTGATGGGAAATTTTATCTATACATTGTTTATTTTTTCCAGCAAACCTTGTTTTTTTTCACTAAATCTCCATTGAGTTTAATGATCTTCCCAGCGATGCCAACCTCCATTTACACCATGTTTTCGTCCATTGATTTTCCCATATGTTTTACAATGTTTTTTTTCCCATGTATTATCCCATGATTTCACATATTTAACATTTGAAAGTCCATGATTTCATGTGGGTAAAACAATAAGACACCAACCCCCAGATCACCATTTTTATTGGTGGTATAAATCATTCCCAAATGGGTGGTTTATGGCATTGTTTTACCAACATTATTTGTAATACTATGATATTAACAATGATATTTCAGAATATTCCAGAGAGATATCAACGACAATAACGTCGAATAACATTGGGAGAATTACCAATAATAGCTCATTAATTAACTAACTATCATCCAATCATGGGATACTGTTAATATATTTTTCCCATGTATAATCCCAATGATTTCACATATCTACCATTTGAACATAAATTATATACCCATGAATCATGGGATAATATGTGAAATATGTATCATTTGATAGCATTAATCCACGATTTGAAAATCCATTACCCTCTGGTACATAGCTATGGAAAATCACCATAGAAATAGTGAGTTTTCCCATGAAACATGGTGATCTTCCATAGTTTTTTGTATGTTTACCAGAGGGTAATTCATGAGTAATTCTATAATGGATATTAATAGAATTCATGGGTAATAGATCATGGCTAATTATGGGTAATTAATAGATTAATAGATTAATTATGGTATTTTCCAAGGGTTTTCCTATGATTTTCCCATAAAACCACCATTTTCCTATGGGTTTTCCTATGATTTTCCCATAAATTAATACACCCCCCCATTCGTCGCCTGCGACTCCTTCGGCTGCGAGACTTGGAGCGCCGCCGCCGCGACTTCGAACGACGCCGCGACTTCGAGCGACGCCGCGACTTGGAGCGGCGCCGCGAACGGCGACTCCTGCAGTGATTGAATGTATAGCCCATATCTAAATATGTGGATATATATATAATATATGTATATATACATAATAATCTATCTATCTATCTATCTATCTATCTATCCATCTATCTATCCATCCATCCATCCATCTATCTATCTATCGATCTATCTATATATATATATATATTATTTCAAGTGACCTTTCCAAGCACCAGGTCGAGGTCAACCCCAAAAAGGGTCACTCACCACCTAAAACGATCTATGGGATGAAGCTGCAATTTGTTTTTGCCCAGATGTTCAGGTGGACACTGTTTCCAGATTTTCACCATCGCAACACACATCATCGATATGAGACTACCAGCCGCCAGTTGGTGTCCCCCAGTTTGGTGGCCATGATTCAATCCCTATGGATCCAGGTTTTCCGTAGCTTCTTAGGAAGTATGACTGGTGTATCATTTAGGGGGTGAAGTCGGTTAAGTACCTTCTCAGTGGCCATGGATCCCATAGGGAAGATATTTCAAGATCATTATACCAATAAGAATCTTGGAAGAATCTTGGATGATTGACCCATTCCTCCCAACGTCCCAATGTGCTCCTGGAGCGTTCCTTTCGAGAACGAGACCGCGATGCCTCAGGGGCAGCCTGCGCCAACCGAGGAAGGCCATTTTGGAAGGCCGAACTGGCAGCCGATTTGGTGGATCAGTCCAACTAGATGAAAACGAATGTTTATGGTTCTATATATGCTCAAATTTGGGTGTTTCAAGTCATATTTGGTGATATGTGGCTGTTTTAGGCGATTAAACTTGGCTTGGAACTATTGAGATTCCAGGAGGCAGCAAATGATATCAACTACAACTCACTTATGAAGAAGGAGATCCTTAACCATAGTCATGAACCACTCCAAGCTCCAAAGCTGGACAACATGAACTGTTTGACTGTCAAACAGTTTGGTATCTTTCGACACTCCACCGGAAAGCATGTGTATATATATATATATTCTTCAAACAAACGTCGCACCACTTCCATACTCAGAAACCCAACAGTCACGGTCAGTGCTGTTGGGAGTACTGTAAAACCCTGGTTAGTCACTAGCACCGTTCGTGAGAAGAATCCAAAAACATCCAAAAACAAATCTGAAATGTCTTAGTGCACGGGGTCGTGTCTCAATAAGGGGGGTTACTGGCAAGTTTAGTCAGCAAGTCAACATAAACTGTGGTTTGGTTAAATTTGGGGTATCGCAGTCATTTTCGAGACACATCCCGGTTCAAATATATCCCCACATCAATTATAGCATTATAATATGTATACAATGTATTAATGTATATATATACATATATATATACGTATATGTATATGTATATATGTACATATATATATACGTATATGTATATGTATACGTTATATGTATGATATAGTACCCCCCCATCCACCAAAAAAATCCAGCAACTTTGTAAACTTGTTACATAAGTTTATCCTGAGTTGAAGGCCCTGAATGGATTACATACATACACATATGTGGAAATGGAGCAATACCTCTAAATACAGATTTTAGGGGGATGAACATCCATAGAGACCCCAGCTATTCTGATGTGGACAGAAGGGGTACAGGATTTTGACTCATCGTCGTAATCAGGGAAAACACCATTTATAATATATATATATATATATATGGTCATATACAGTATATATTATATATATAATAATACTTTTAAATATATACAGTATAATCAGTATAATTATATATATATATATCCGCATTCTATCCTCATTCTATCCCCATCTCCGTTGATTTCATTTTCCGGTCCCGTCTCGGCCTTCTGCTTGATGAGATCCCAGGCGTGTGACACCATGGCTTCCACCTAGCTGGGAGATTTGAACCGTTTGACCCGGACCAGTGGTAACTTTCTCTGGTTGGTGATTAATCCATTATTGTATATATACGTATATGTATATATGTATAATTGTATGATTATGTATATCTATAATATCTATATTAATGATAATAATGATCCATTATAATAATCCAATAATTATCCATCATTATTAGTCAAACAATTATCCATGATTAATCATCCACTGGTTGGTGGTTGACCTACCCCTCTGAAAAATATGAGTTCGTCAGTTGGGATGATGACGTTCTCAATAGATGGAAAAATAAAAGCAATGTTCCAAACCACCAACCAGTTGTGGTTTGTTAAAGAAACTGAATTTCTGGTAACTTAGTGGTTTCTTTATCATAAATGTCTGTTGTTTGGTAAATAAAAAAACACAACAACAGAAGTTTATGATAAAGGAGTTAAGCTTTAAGGGTGAATATTGAACATATATGACAATGATACACAATTTTCAGGTGAAACTTTGCAACTGACCAACTCACCAACCTGAAGATAGAGAATCCTGGCTAAAGCACATCCCAGGTCGGACATGTTCATCCCGTTTAATCCTGGTCGATCAAGGGGATAGTTTTCCCACCATTCCTCCATGCTTCCCATTTTCTACCTCTCCCCCACCACATACGCACCAAAAAAAAAACTCCGTTATCAGGCTATAAACAACAAATCACAACACAAATAAGTCAGCTGAAAAAACAGCTGAAGTGCTTGACAGCCTCTCCGCTCCTGTCCTTGCTCTTCACCAAGTAAAAGAAATGTCTCATTTTGTCACGAAGACCCTTGCGACCTCAGAGCGATAAACTTCCCGAGCCAGCCAAGCTAGTCAATGAACCCACAGGGTTGCAAGGCGAAGCCAGAAAAACCAATGCAAACAAACAGGATTATGTAATGGTATACACTCTATATAATTTCACATAGCTATGGAGCATTCATTTAAAAAATTGCCCATGTATAGATGATTTGCCCCATTAAAGCAGGTTTAATCATTACACGAGGGTAGAAATATCAGGGACCAAATATTTGGCTGAATGAATTCCAACATCTGAGGCAGGCTGCTCCACGAGATCTTGTCCGTTTTAAGTGACTGTTCAAGATAAATGGCCATGACAAACATGGGGTGATACTAGTGATTGTTGTTTGATGTTTTTTGTTTTTTCTTTCACTATCTATATAGTTATAAGATGCTATAATATCATATAACTCTGTGGTCCTTGATACATTCTTGTCTTAAACTGACGCTGGAGTGTCTCTTAAGCAATACTCATTTCGTTGATAGACTGTATGGATATATGATGATATATGTACATATTGGACATCCAAGATTCTTCGCAATGTGGCTTTGTCTAAAAACGGGTACCCTCTGGTAATTTAACATAACTATGGAAAATCACCATAGAAATAGTGAATTTTCATGAATTTTCCCATGAAAAAATGGTGATGTTCCATAGTTTTTTGTATGTTTACCAGAGGCTACCGGTAGTACCGTTGATGCTTTATCATTATATATTCACTGCTAATGTTACGGCCATGACTTGGGGTATTCACCCACGGTTTGAGGCACACGAAAAAAGTGACTAATATACCAAATTGGTTCTGATATTCCCATGAAATCCCCACTAAATTGTGGTTTCTTTTTATATACCAGTTATACATAGGTATACCAGATATTCTATGTTGAAATCCCATGAAACCCTCCAATATTTAACCAATATCTCATTGTTTTAAAAAAATATCATCCCACATTACCCATGATCTCCCCAGAATTGCTAGTAAACAGTCAACATTTCCGATGCTTAAACCATGTTACCCTCTGGTAATTTGTTACATAGCTATTGAACATGGCCAGTCGAAATAGTTGATGACTACCCATTAATAATTGTGATTTTCTATCGCTACGTAAACGTTTACCAGAGGGTAAGACACATGTTCCCAGCATTCAGAGCTTTGATCCAAAGGCCCCAGCGTTCAAAGTTGATCGACTGGGACTTCATGAGATTCTCACCATCAGCTGGCGACATCATCCTCAGTCACCAGTGGTCACCGAGTCGTTGGAACCGTTGGGAAACATGGCAGGGGGTACCCGGTACTGGACTGTTTTCCACCGGCCCATGATGGCCCATGAATGGCCCATTCTGAAAGATGATTTACCTATAAAATCCCATGAAGATGCAGCTACCTATGCAGAATGGCCCATTCTGAAAAATGATTTGGCCCATGATTTACTGTGATATTTCATCCCATACAGATGATCAATTGCTATGTCAAATTATAGGATTTTTCTGGACCAAGCCCCTGGATGAGTTGACCGCGACGTCTCAGAGGCGTCCCGGAAAGAAACATCATCAATTCATCACATATTAGATGTTACAGCAAGACATGCATAACATCAACAAAGTGAGTTAAATGATCTTAAATGATTTTAAATGATATGTTTGTGGATGGAACTCAAATGGTTGGGGAATCACTTGCGGCACGTCCAAGGTCACAAGCGATCAGAAAACGGTGCAAGTTACAAAAAAGTAAGCGATCTCCCAGAAGAAATCACCGATTTTATGGTCGTGGTAATATGTGGTGATACAACTCTACAAAAAAATAGGAACCCTATTGTAGAGTTATGGATACATTGGTGCCATAAACATCCAAAAAAAATAGGAACCGTATATATTGGTGCCATACAACTCTACTTCTACATTATAGGAACCTTATGGCTCCTAGCACGGTTGAATCCGTCAGTGTTTCAAGGAGAATCCAAAGGGAAACTACTCAGATTAGTCAACTGAGTAGATCTCAGATTTGGTTGGATATGTTGTGATGCGAACCATGGTGCTGGAATATTTCCCTACAAAACTGGGCCATGTATTTAGGGTAAATTAATGGTAAATATTCCATACATGGAGCATATGAGGAATGGAGGGCTACTTAATGAGCACACGTATTTATGTTCTATCGGATTCTATCGCCACTCAGTTGCTCACCAAAACTGCAGTTGGATGGCAACTATGAGAAACACATGCCAAATGTCTGTCTTCCGACAGTTGTCATCCAACCAAAGTCAGGGTAATTAAACCAAAATTATCTTTTATAACTTACAAACCCTTACACAACATGTATTATGTATATCTAAATATATAGCATATATATATATATATCATGATGATGTATATATATATATATATATATATGGTCTATAATAGGTGTGTCGTATATCATCACCATTCATGAACCAAAACGCCGTCGCGTTCCTTCGCCAAGCACGCCGGGTGACATCAGAGCGCGTTCCGCCAAGCTGTGCAACGCATGGTGCCGGACAAACTCCACGGCGCTCTGCGCAAAGTGCAAGGAATGGTTCTGAAACGACACCTGCCGTGTCGTTGCGTGGGAAAACCTGGGAAACACATGGGGGAACTGGCGAAGTGGAACGGGAAAAAAACAGAATGTTGCTTTGAAAGGAAGAAAATGCTATCAACTATGATAATAGGTCTGTACATATGTGTTCTATTTACATGTATACATGTATACATGCATATTATATCATGATATAATTTCATATCTATACTACCCAAAGGCTCCAATGATAGCAAATATTTCATACATTCAGCTTCGTCCCCGTTTTTTGGGTACATTCGACATGTTAGAGCCAATGTCCTCAAAAAGTGGGTACATTCAAAATCCGATAATTTCCGATAATTTCCGATAGATTTCTATTACATCTTGTGGGTAAATCCACAGGCAGATCACCAATCTTTTTCCCTTAAGCATCGAGATCAGGATGGCGTACTCTTAGTAACCACCGCATGATCATGCGAAGTTCCAAGGTGTTCTTATGCACCTTCCGTGCTAGCCGCTTACATTGGCCCATGAAATCCTCATCGCCATAGCAATGTGTTGCTCCTGAGCACAACAATTGAAGATCAAGCAAGCCAAGGCAATAGCAAGTTTAATCAACATGTTGCAACATGCCATTGATTCATGTCTAAAGGCAAGATTCTGGGATTTTCCTTGAAGATTCGGGCTTCATGGCAGGATTCCAACAATGCCTTAGCCACAAAAACAAAGAATATTCATTTCACATCATCATTGGTGCCATGACGAATTTCTGCCTGGTTGCATGGACTTTCGGCTTCATTGGGTATCGACGGCTGCTCAGTTGCACGTGGTGTTGAGCAAGAAGTCGATATGTCTGCAGAAACCTGAAATGACATCAAACAGATCAAGGTGCAGTTTAATGCTTTAATATATTAATTAATACATATATGTATATATACCCATAGGATCCATGTATGGAATATTTACCTACATTGACCCCTAAAGTAATTTAAAATAATCCCAATGTAGGTAAATATTCCATACATGGATTCTTAGGGATATATATATATATACACATGTTTTTGTGCAAAACCAAGTGACTGGAACCCTGTAGCATATATATGTTCACTTTGCTCGTCAGTTAAATTCAAAGGATAGATTTCCACATCGAGCATCCACGTGGACAATTGTTGAGTAGCAACTGTGATCAGATTGAGATCCATGTCAGCATTTCCATGTTGTCTCTGCACAACTTGTAGGCACACAGCCATGAAGGCAGTAAACACCCGGCTAGCATAGGCCTTGAGCCGAAGCTCTGCCCAGTCCTCTTGATGCAAATGTGCTGTACCAATGAAGGTTTGCCCTGGGTTTATTGAATGCAGCCGGCACCAGTCGAGGAATCGACGATTCAATAGGTGCATGATCTCGGTCATCGACTGGGTGCCTTGGATGCCAACTGTTTGGAAGGAAACATATCGATTCAGGTTTGATGTGGATTTTTTTTTCCCTCATGCCAAGTGAGGGTTGTTAGATTTTATCACAGTTGTTCTCGTCCTCCTCCTCCTCCTCTTCCTCCTCCTCGTCCTCCTCTGCCAAGCTCTTCGCCAAGCTCTCTGCCAACATCCGAGCTCAGTGTGCACCCCTGGACCTCAGCCTGGGACCTGCCCAGCTCAGTGAGCACCGCTGGACCTCAACCAGGGACCTGCCCAGCTCAGTGAGCTCAGCTGGACCTCAACCTGGGACCCTCCGAGCTTAGTGAGCACCGCTGGACCTCAACGGCCAGATAGAATGCCAGAAGATATGTCAGATAGAATGTCAGAAGATATGTCAGATAGAATGCCAGAAGATATGCCAGCTAGAATGCCAGAAGATAGATAAAATGCCAGATAGAATGCCAGTAGGTATGCCAGATAAAGTGCCAGAAGGTATGCCAGATAAAGTGCCATAATGTTTGCCAGATAGAATGCCAGAAGATTTGCTAGATAGAATGTCAGAAGATATGCCAGATAGAGTGCCAGGAGATATGCCAGGAGATATGCCAGATAAAATGACAGAAGATTTGCTTGTAACAAAACATATAATATAAATGTCATGGTGGGGATAACTCAAAGTAAAGTATATATTAATATTAGTTTTTTTCCTTGCGGTTGAGCTACCAAAGAAATTGTGCTGGATTAAAGTCAGCAAAGCACCAGCATTCACCCAATGACATAGTCCGAGATGAAGAGTATGCATCATGCAATATTTGATCATCGTAGGTTGCCACCCAACTGTCATACAGAGTGGATTGACATATTGCTTCCTTAGAAGGTCAGAGGATCAACCAAGCATTCATGCATATATAATTATATATATATATATATTGTGTCATATATATATATATATATTATATTATATTATATATATGTAATCAGCACCCAGAGTCAGGGCCATGTTGAAGAACTCATTGGTGGTCAGTCTTGGGGTGTTCTCGAAGTTCTGCAGCTTGACATACCTGAGAATGAAAGTTTGAGTTTTTTTTTGGGGGATCCACAAAGATTCAAGTTCAAGCTAGCTTAAAGCAACCAAGATACTGAAACGGTCCAAAGCATTTCGTTGCTTTGCATTTGAAACATGTCCCACGTACAAATTTCCAAAAATGCCGCAGGTCGAATACCTCCTTGTGCCACTTCCAATCACCCCTGGTCAGGGACATGTCAAAGGCCAAAAAACATATGTAATTCGTATTATGTTAAGTTGAAATTGTGCACACAAAGCCCAGCCTGACTTCTGTCAGTGTATAGGGCCCTCCAGGTATGTGTTTCCCTGCCAAAGATGCTCTGCTGCCAGAAAATAAATGCCCACGCCAATCCATCAAAGGAAACACGCCTCCATAGGCTACCTTGGCCACATGACTGAACAAATATTATGTAATTAAAAATATATATATATATACATACATAAATACCAGACTGAAACATACAAAGCACTATAATCATTATTCATACAAGTGTCATTGAGTGACCATGCTATGACACGATAGATCGGATCCAACGATCGACAGCCCAATGAAATTTCGTATCTCAATGCAGCAAGAAGTAGTCTCCGGTTGATGGCCATGTCACCTTAGATAGAGAATCAAAGCTGACTAAATATATATACTTCAGTGTGGGTTCAAGAAATACTGGCTCCACCAAAACAAATAAAAAAAAATATATAAACAGTTCATATTCAGGCAACTATCAGCCATAATGGGAGTTTTTCCCCTGTGTGATTCACGGCGACACTTGCGGTCAAACAGGATATGGTTCATACAGATAATGATAACTTTGCTGCCAGCCAAGGTGTACTTCGCATCATCACCTCCCAATCCCAATGGCCAATGAAGGCCTTGAGCTGCAGCTGGGTGATGTGGCTTGTGCAAAGACCAAAGCCTCCAGAATTCTTGAAGTTCTTGAGAATCAACATGAAATTGACCAGTGGATGCCATATGATGCAGAAGCTCATGAGGTAGGATGACTGGACACCGTAGATATCTGACACGATTCTTCTTGATCTTGTCTTTCACAGGGATGGTGACAAAAACTGGATCCTTGGGCAATGTTAGGCCAAATTGATAAATCAAGTTTCTTTGTTGTAGTAGACACACACATATTATAGGGGAAAACAAAACATAATTCAAAGAAACCCAATATCAAAGCCATGATTCAACAGGCAAGTTGATAAGTCGAAACAAATCACGCTCACAGTTTTGAGGATTCCTTCCAGAGGTTCCTATCTTGGCAAACCGTTTTGTGAGTTCTGAGCAGTTGCCATTACTTTCTTCAACCACACATCGTGCAGCCTCCTGTATCCCCTGGCAACTTTCTGCACCTTTACCCAAAGTCTTGAGCAGGTCATCCGCGAAAGCAGTGTTCTTCCTCGTTGTCCAATCAATGTCATTCACATTGGTAGCACCTGCGCAGCAAATAGAAACTGCATGTAATCAGAAATCCAAAGCACACATGAGCACTGGATGCCAAATGATAAATGCAATGTAGGACACATGCACCAATGAGTGGCAACTGGTGTACTTTTTCTCTCACCCAGCACTTCAACTCAGAGATCGATCTGGCCATGAATCAGGCCCCAAGAGCCATGCCCAACGGATTTGATGGGTTCTAAGGCTACAGTTTGAGGTTCAAAAAAGTGGGCAGTTCCCCAACATGGCACAACTGATTGACAAATATTTTTGGTTGGGTATGAACCGTAATATAATATATATATATATATGATATTTATATATATAGAGATTCGATCAAGTTCATGGTACAAATTGCACACATTGTTCCATGCCTCACTGCCCATACCCCCAGGATACATTGCAGATATCCTTTGTACGGCCAAAAGATGCTATGAGCTTCGAACTACTCCGTTTCACATTCAAAATTTGTATTGAGGAGCCCAATGGCTTGGCATCATGATAGCATCAAACAGCACCAGTTTTTTTTCTTGGACGAAACAATAGTTTTATCCAAAATCACCCGCCCAAGCTCCTTCTCAACTAAGTCGAATTTGCTGCTGCAGCAGCCTTGGCCTTTGGCACGCTTGGCTTTTGGCAATGCTTTTTGCAATGCTTCGCAGCAGCTCGGTAGTCGATCAGGTTTTTTGACAGTGCCTGGGTTTTATCACGAATTTCATCCTCAGATTTCCCCGATGCAACATCAGCTTCCAAGCTAATGCGGTTCTTCTCCAGGTCATCCAAATAGGTATTGCAATCATCCACCAAGGCTTTCAACATGTTGACAGGCCTTAGAATGATAAAGGTTGGCATTGGGAATCGCCACAACTAAGAAGGATTCATGTCATTAAATTTTAGACGACACAACACCTTATATATATATGTTATAATATATATTGGGGCTCCTACGTGCCAGCAGCTTCCAATTTGCTCTTCCAGCTCTTGCATTCCAGAATAGCCGTGGAGGCATCCTTCATGACCTGACAAGGTTTGGTTACAGATATGTATACATCAATTTGTTTGGTTGAATATGACCATGACATTGAAACAAAAAAAATCTGCCTTGGTTGCTTCTTGCTGTGCTGTCTTAGCCTTTGGGACTGCTTTCACTTTGGCCTTTGGCTTTGGCTTGGCTGCTGCCATGGTAGTAGGGGGACTGGATCCACCATGGCACATCGGAATGGCACCCCTCAGCAACAGAATGTGTGGAGCATTCATGATATAAATAAAAAACATATTATATATATATATAGAGCAGATGACATATGCAATGATATTGAGATGGCGTCAGATCAGTGGTTCTGGGGCTCCGACACCAGATTCCCAGCAACCTTGCCAACTCCAGCTCCTCTCGAGGTAATGCCCACAGACTCCACATGGCGCTGGGCATCCTCTTCTTCACAGGTGGCCCAGACCCAATAGACTCGCAGATCCTGGCAGGATGTTTATGGAGATAATGTGTGTTTAAACATGATAATGTTTTGTCACAAGAATATAAATGCCAATGTTGACAACAACTACAAATGCATACAGGTTCCACCTCCCGGGTCGGGAAATTTTCATCCGCTTGGTACATCTTCTGGTCAGTCTTGCGCTGGATGAGATCATCAACCAAGTCGGAGTCTTTGTAGCGCTCCAGAAGTTCCTTACATCAAGGGTGATAATACTCATGTACACATCATAATTAATTAATTGAATTGTTTAAATTTCCCTAAGGATCCATGTATGGAATATTTACCTACATTGGGATTATTTTAAATTACTTTAGGAGTCGGTGTAGGTAAATATTCCATACATGGATCCTCTGGGTTTGAGATGAGTAACCAACTTGGACATAGTCTTCCATCGGCCAAACTTGGAAGTCTCCTTGGAATCCTTTGCTTCCAAGACCAACTCAGACTTCAACCAATCCCCTCCGCATGCGGTAAACTGGTCATAGAGCTTCTCCCATTCCCAACTGTTGGTTCCCTTGGCACCTAGGTCACAATGCAGGGATGTTGTCACACAATCATGTTTGTTTAAAGGGAACTTGATATTCAGGACAGTGTATATATATATATATTATATATATATATAAAACGGTATGTGTAAACCATCATAAACCAAGTTGCTCTCCTGCACCTCCTTCAGCTTCTTCTTCACTGCCTCGGGACAATTGGGACCTTAGCAGCGATCAAACAGTTGAGGAGTTGAGGATATATCCAAACCAAAACAAAATGCTGAATGCTGCAGACTGCAGACTAGAAACTGCGCATGGAGCGATGAAACATGGCTTTCGCTGCACGGCGACGCCTTGCCTAAAAGAAAAAAAACAGAACAATGATGTTTTCCTTCATAATGATTGTGGTTCCAGTACTGAGTTCTGTACTGCTGCATCCACATCTTCCAGTTTCTGCGAAGCTACGGAACCAGGTGGTGCACTGGGAGAAAGAAGATCCACTGTGGTCGCCCTTGTCAAAGCTAGAGCAACCGGACCACTGGGAGTGCCACTCACCTCACTGCCTCGGACAGGAGTCGAAGGAGGTAAGGAAGGAGCTGCTTCTGCTGGTGCTCGGCCATGCAAGGGAGGATCTGGTTCTGCTGTGCTGGGCCACTGGACCTCACCATGAGAGGAGAAGGAGACGGGCTTGGCGACGATACCAATCCTAGTTGGTTGTCCGGATGGTACGACTCCACATCCGGCAATGTCGAAGCCACTGTGTCAACTCCAACAGCATCAGTGCTCCTGGCCCTTGGTGGTGTCGCCACTGGCACAGCTGCAGGCACCTTGAACTTCGACCAAAACTGCAGCAGCGCAGGAGATGGCGGTTCAGCAGCATCGGCTTGGTCCTGCAAAGCATGGTTTTCAGCGCAATGGAAACAAAACTAATTTCAATGACATCACAACATGCAAGGCAAGGCTGTGTCAAGTTGCAAAGTCACAACAACATCCAAATTCCAATCAGCTTGACATGGGGCCAATCAGCACATCTCTTTTTTCCTACTTCGCAGGCGACGTATCGGACAGAGGTGCCCGAGTCGGCACATATCCACTTGGCCTCCAGTCTGATGACTCCAGCGGTGATGGATCGTCATGGTTTGGAGTCGGTGTATCCATCGTCCCAGATCCAGCTCTGGTTAACCGAGACTCCCTCACCGCCTGCCAATTGATCCCGTAGTTGATCGGGATGAAGAAGCCAGCTGCATCCGATTCCCCGACACCACGCTGAAATCTTCGCAGCGAGACTGGTGCCTGGGCAGCAGCTGACTTCGCTCTGAGGCCCGTCGCCTGGTCAATGTTCTCCTCACTCTCCGTGGCCGTCTCCAGTTCCTTCTCCACAACTGTTTCCATTTCCATCGATGTGGCTGTCTCCATGTCCTTCTCCACGGCTGATTCCATTTCCATCGATGTGGCTTTCTCCATGTTGTCCTTCTCCACAGCTGGTTCCATTTCCATCGATGTAGCTTTCTCCATGATGATGTCCTTCTCCACAGCTGGTTCCATTTCCATCGATGTGGCTTTCTCCATGATGATGTCCTTCTCCACGGCTGTTTCCATTTCCATCGATGTGGCTTTCCCAATTTCCTTCTCCTTTTCTTTCTCCTTCTCTTTTTCAATCTCCATTTCCTGGGCTAGTGGAGCTTTGTCCACTTCCTCAAAACTGATTGGATCCCCCGCCACAACCCGGCCAACAGGCAAGGGTCCTGCTGCCTTCCATGATCCTGGAGTGACTCTACCAGGTTGCAATGGCCCAGGACCACCACCACCACGACCATGGGCATGCACCTTTGGCAACACAGGCCTAGGTGGTCGGACGATCCTCGGGACAGCCTTGGCCAGAACAGCCTTGGCTGGAGGTGGCACCACCTTCGGTCCCATTGCAATCAGTGGCGGGGGTTCTGCAAGAAATAGTGTTGTATTTTGTTTGATGGTTGTTCGTGATTTGAATATCAGTTCCGAATTGATAATCTTTACATGTGATGTTCACTGTTGTCAATTCTTTGAAGTATCCTTCTCAGCATTCATGAAAATCAAACGTGTCCAATGGTGGCTTGGGCCAGCGATTGACTGCATAGGTGTGAAATGTTGTGAAGCTCATGCACCAAGAATGAAGCTGCAATGTGAAAATCCCATGAGCATCATGAGCAAAATCCCAATCCCAACTCATGCCACTGCTTGCATCGGGAAAACTAAATCACAGTCCTTGTCTGCAGTGGCAGCTGGCATCGGTGCAGCAGCTGGAGTAGATGCATCAGCCACCATCGCATCTGGCATCGGTGCAGCAGCTGGAGTAGATGCATCAGCCACCATCGCAGCAGCTGGCATCGGTGCAGCCATCGGTGCAGCTGGAGTAGATGCATCAGCCACCATTGCAGCTGGCATCGGTGCAGCAGTTTCAGCTGCCGGCACCTGGTGGGCAACATCAGTTTGGAGGTTCACAAAAAAATGGAAATGCAATAAAACAAGACACCACCCTGACCAATGTGACAAATTTGATAGGGAACCATGCTGCCTCATCGCATCCAGCAGGTCCAGCAGTAGCATCCTGCAGTTGCATCAAAGACAGGAAGTAATCGATTATATCAATAATAATGCCAGCTTCAAGTGTCCTCCACCACAACCACAGCTCGGCCATCATGTGGTGCCCCATCCTGACGACATGATACCGATATATATATATATATATTATATCAATTTGATGTAACAACAGCAAATCAACTGTCCTCGCAGGCAGCATCAGCCACATCCATGGGCAATGTGTCCTGATGTAAGTCCAACACTTGAACAACCGAAACAAAAACAGGTATGCACATGCTTGCATCAGTCCTGTTCATCAGGTGAGATGACCTGCATCCACCAGGTTCCACAAAACTGCACTGAAACAAATTCATTATAACAACAGGATAAGCATTATGCAAATATATATATATATGTGTGCCCTTGCCTCACGAGCTTCAGGCACAGCATTCGTGTCCATCACTTCCTGCACAGATAGAAGACATAAGTTGGATAGCCAATCATGATAAAATAAATAAATAAATCAATAAATAAATTAAATATATATATGCACTGTCCTTCTCCTCGGGCTCGACTGATTCAGGAGGTCCTGGAAATCCAGAAAGCAAAATCATCAAATACTAGTATCATCAGGTTTGAATTCATCATAACCGCTGAACATTGCATAGTCCTGCAGCATCCAAATCAGGTAGAAGGCTTTTGGCCACACCCCCAGACCCCATAGATGTACTTGAGGATGATGTCATAGATCTGGAAATTTTTGCATCAGGGGTAATCTTGGTGTTCGGGTCCTGGCACGATGTCTGTCATTGAGGGGGAATATAAAATATTAATATATAGATATTATCGTGATATATTGACATGTAAATATTACTCAACTGTGGATACAAAATGATTATGTTTTTTTTGTATCCTTGGTCGAGTAATTTGACTTGCACAGCATGATGATATTGCTATTACTCAGCTGCGGATACAAAAAAAGTGTGTTTTGTATCCTTGGCCGAGTAATTTAAATATATTATCCCACAGGTTCAAAACTTTATCCAGGAAAACCAGCATAATTCTAGGGGCTACTCAAGTTTAATACTGGTGACAGGATTGTGTAGGAAATAACATGTATCCATACCCAGAGGATCCATGTATGGAATGTTTACCTACATCGACCCCTAAAGTAATTTAAAATAATCCCAATGTAGGTAAATATTCCACACATGGATCCTTAGAGATATATTATTATATAATATATATAATTATATGTATAATATATATATGCACATATATTATTATATAATTATATATATATATATTCATATATGTTCGAATTCAGTGATGTCTCAACATGAGTTGGCTAAAAGAAATGTTTTACCTATTTTTATGACGTAATGGGCTATATATATATGATGAGACATGTCCTTGGTGACAGCATCCTTCTTTCGCTTAGGCAAGGCCCCTGCAGCTTTGGCAGCGGCAAACTTGGCACGACGAAGCCCAGCTGCATTTAGCGCTGTTTGGACCAACTCCTCGCAGATGGCTCTGGAGGGTATTGAGGGATCAATAATATCAAGAAACAACATCATATATATGTACATGTTTGGTGTGAATTTCAACACTAACATGGTGGCTCCTCCGCCTTGGGATCACTGCTTCCATCCAAAGGACCACTCATAGCTATCCTAAAGATGCCTAAAGCCTAACCAAGAGCCCCAAATGCTGCCCAAAAACAGGGTCAGATTCTCAGCAGGAATTTCTGCAACATCCCCGTGACGGTCCCGTAACGGTCCCGTAACGGTCCCGTAACGGTCTATTTTAACGGAAGTAGTATTCCGTAGGAGATTTAGTAGGGAAAATGAGGACATTAACGGAACCCCCGTAACGGTCCCGTAACGGTCCTGTAACGGTCATTCAACGGCTCCAATCAGAAAATTGATATTTTTTTCCGACAATCATGATCATAAATTTGAAGGTTTCTTCCGACAATTCCATCAGATCTGTCATTGCACTAATCAGAAACTACATCACAGCCAGAACATCAGCATTCAAAACGAGTTGTTTTTTTTTCCCAATTGCTAGATCACAGAGGTAGGCCTGGTTGTGGGTGAAACCTACCTTCCCTCACTGCATCTAGTAGCATCCATCTAAGCGGTTCCAGCTGGGCATGTCGCCAATCAAACGGCACCGGAGGAACTGGTCCATCTGGCAGATCATCCAGTGGTCCAACATGGGTTTCCTTGGCGAGGCCATATCAGGGTCAGGTGTGGCTCCATGGACACACTGGGAAAGAGGTGAACTGCGGGTAACAAAAAAAAATATTATATATATATAAATTATATAATCCCGCTATATTACACTCTTTCTCTAATAATAGTGATCCATATAATAATATAATATAGTTGGAGATAGCATAGGTTGGGGATAGTTAGTTAGCTGGGGATAGTTAGAATAGTTAGCATAGTCCGGAATCTTTCAGCATCTTTCAGCAGCATCACGTGGTGGCACCGTTGGAGATTGGAGAGGAGAAAGGCTGCCTGACATCACCGAGGGAGCGATATCTGGCTTTGCCAGCTTCAGGCCTCTACAGCCACACTGGCCGAAAGGACATCACGGAGGGACTGGAGCCGTGCACGTGGCAATCCCAGCAGATGTCTTCGCTTCGAGCAGCTGCAAGACGTCTAAGAGCTGGGTGAGAGTCACTGGGATTCCAAGCGGATGGGATGATGCCACCCAGCCAGAAGGGATCGATCTGGGCGACTACACAGGCGGAGAAATTTTCGTGGCCTGCAGCAGTCCAAGGAGCATTGCAGCACAGAATGGAAGCTCCAGCGGTGTCGCGGAGCCAGAAGAGCGGCTGGTCGTGCTGCCTCACTTCCAAGGCCCCGGCATAAGGCCCAGCTGTCAGCGCAGCTGGTTGGCGCAAAGGTAGGAAGAGAACACAGAGGAGCTGCCAAGTGGCAGGATCAGCTTCCCCAACAGGCACAGGAACGGGACCCATGGTACTCGTGGGCAGTGGTGCAACGTTTCCGCCATACCGCCCAAAAGGCAAAACAGCACCCCGGCAAGCCACAGCCCCAAAAGATTGGCTGTTGTGACTTCAGACTACATGATCAAGGAGCTGGAGACAGAGATTAGCTTGGCAGGTAGTGCACGCATAGCTGATGTAAGGGGTTAGGCATAGGTTTAGTTAAAGGGGTTTAGTTAACGTGTTAGTTGAGATGTAGCTGATAGGAGGGTTAGTCTTATAAATAAATAAATAAATAAATAAATCAATAAATAAACAAATAAATATTATAATAAATGATAATAAATGCATATATATATATATCTATCTATCTATATATATATATATATTTATATATAATTTACAATTACTCAGTCAAGGGTACAAAACTAATAACATTCATTATACCCATGTACAAAACAAATAATATCCATTATTTGTACCCACGACGGAGTAATCTCATAGGATAATAATTATAAATAATATCTATATTAATATTATATATATTATTAAATAATATATATATATATTATATATTATAGATTATTTATAGTTCAATAAACAATTAATTACTCAGTCAAGGGTACAAAACCAATAACATTTTTGTACCCACGACGGAGTAATCTCTTATTTTCATATAAATATAATATATATATAATTATTATAAATTATTATGTATATATGCATTATTATATAATTATACTGATATATAATATAATATAATATATATATATATATATATATTAAATTATATATATAATCTATCTCTCTCTCTATATCTATATCTATATATATATCTTATGTCATTTTGTATCCTGCCTAAGTAATTACACTCCCCAAAAAAACATATTGTTTGAATTTATTTCTTTGTTGAATGGGTCTATTACTTGGGCTCAGATACAAAAAAAATAATAAATTAATTATTAATAATAATATATTATAGCAATCATATCAACATTCTATCATGAAATAAATTTGTTATCCTTATCATGTTGTACAATATATATATATATATTCTCCACCTGCCAGGTGAGGGTTGTTAGATTTTATCACAATTGTTCTCGTCCTCGTCCTCCTCTTCCTCCTCCTTCTCCTCCTCCTCCTTGTCCTCCTCCACCAAGCTCTTCCCCCAGCTCTCCGCCAACTCTTTGCCAACGTCCGAGCTCAGTGTACATCGCTGGACCTCAACCTGGGACCTGCCCAGCTCAGTGAGCACCACTGGACCTCAACCAGGGACCTGCCCAGCTCAGTGAGCACCACTGGACCTCAACCAGGGACCTGCCCAGCTCAGTGAGCACCGCTGGACCTCAAGATATGCCAGATAGAATGCCAGAAGATATGCCAGATATAATGCCAGAAGATATGC